AAATCCATTATATATATTTGTATCATGTTAAGCGCATAGAGCATTGCATAAGTGGATATGCGCTATATAAATGCAATCCATTATTATTATTATTATTATTGCATACAGTAAGGACATGATCTATCAATGCAAATTTTAAACAGGTTTTATATTGCACCCCAAAAAATGTGTCCAGTTTTCTCTTTAAAATGTTGAAACAGAAAGGTAAAAATGTGCGTAGATTTTGACTGAATAAACTCTGGTTTTGTATTTTTAAAATTGTTTCTTAAAAGTTATAAGTTGTCATGTGTGGGTTTGCCTGCCAATCCACGGTGAACTCGCTGCACATTTTTCACAAGTTGGAGTATGTGACGAGATCACTGGTGGAGGTATTTGATGACTTCACCGTGTGACCAGTTCGCTGGAAGCCGCCCATGGATAGTCTTCCTACACACGATCACGAAAGGCCAGCTCTATTCGGACTCGAGTCCAAATATAATTTTTATAGAATCTATTCGGACTCGAGTCCGAATATAATTTTTATAGAATCTATACGGACTCGAGTCCGAATACTTATAATGGGTTTTTATCTTTTCGGACTTGGGTCCGAAAAAAATGTTTTATTTATTTGGACTCAGCTTCTAAGTGAGTGTAAAGAGGTAGGCAGTGTCTAAGTACACAGTAACCGACAACCAGGGTCTTTCCACCACCACTACAGCATCATCATTACTTCCACCGCCATTTGTCTTTCCACCTGTTTAATTTGATTTTGTTGTGTGTTATAGTTTTTCTGTAATTCTTTTTCTTTTTTTTATAGGCTGATGTTAGGGAACCATAGTGTTTGGCGCTAGGGGACTGTATGTCCTACCTGCGCTAATGAGTGGTGTTAGGGGACCGTACGCCCCCATAGTGTTCGGTGCTAGGGGACCGTACGTCCTACCTGCGCTAATGAGTGGTGTTACGGGACCTTGCGCAGATATTTATTTTATACGCATGCATCTGGACTTTGCAAAAATACTGGAGGAAAACGGCCAGTTTAACGAAGCTCCTGACGTAAGGAGTTATTACAAGGAGAATATTTAAAATATCTGAATACGATTGTGAAGTGTCCAGTGGCCGTGGGTGAACCAAAATTTGAAATTTGCTCACATCTGCACCCACGTTGTTGTTATGTGTCAATAAAAGAAATCAAAGCAAAGGAGGGAGAGAGAGAGAGAGAGTGTGTGAGTGTGAAAAACAGACAGAAAGGAAATGAGAAAGAAAGAAAGAAAGTAAGGAGCGGGAGAGAGAGAGAGGGAGACAAAGTGTGAGTATGTGTGTGTGTGTGTGTGTTAGAGAGATGGGGGGGGGGGGGGGTCGTGAGAGAAAGAGAGAGATGAACAAATTTACACAAAGGGAATGTTTTGGACAAAAATGAGTAGGAAAATTTTGATAGACTGCTATGCAAAGCATACGGATCAGATTAACAAGTAAATTTCCTCTTTGGAAAGTGGTGGCATAGAGTTCCCCATGTTGTATGGATATATGACAGTGAAACACAACGTACGGATAGAGTTAAACATTTTCAGTTGGTACGAAATTTTGAATTTTGCCCGGCTGGCGGGCGAAACCTACTCTTTTCGATTTTGAACTACCAAGGGATCTTTAACGTGTGTGCAACTTGCACACAGGACTTCCGAGATTTTTTTCGCCCTTGTCCGAGAAGGCTAGGTGTCTGTGTAGATTTCGTCTTTTCACGTCTTTACTTGTTTAGATGACCGCTTTATTGTTGGGTTTGTTGGTGCGGTCGCTCATAACCAAAGTCCTCCCTAATTTCTAATTATCAAGTTATCTTTTTATCATGTGTATGTTTGCCTTTGTAAACCAAACTGCCCTTTTGGGACCAATAAAAATGTTGGCAAATTTATTATTTAATTTTCATAACTTTGCGCATAAGACACATAGCCTACTGAAATAGTGAACACTCCAATTTTTTCTTATTAAGGCCGTCTTAAGTGGAAAGGAAAAGCAGTGGCCTGATTCTTGAGTATGGAATAGGCCTACTTGACTGAAACCTGCAATATTAAAAATATTACGTTATGATTCAAAATCATGAAAATCTGGCTCCATCATGTACTGAATGCTTCCTTCATATTGGAGATCTAGATCTAGACAGAGCGTGTCTTCTAAAAAGTGGCACAAGTGTCAACACGATCAATTAGCCTAGAGATAAACACGGCTGTGTTTAGTCAATGTAATGCAGCCAGTAACATTAGAAAAGAGCGGTTCTAATTTTTGTGATCGAAGTAAAAGTGACTATCCGAATAGACAAAAAGTTATATGGACTCTGCATTGAGTCCAGCATGACGCCAGTTCCGACTTCCGACCCTTGTTCGTAATATATCCAGCATTTATGAACATTTTTTCGATTTATAGTGATAACAGTCGAGATCATCCGAGATGTGAGCTCAGTTTAGATCAATCTAAACTGGCCCTCCCTGCTTTATTAGCATGAACAGAACGACTAAGTAGAGCTGACCTCGCCGGGGCTAAAGTTAATTATGTCGACAAATGAGATTGCGCGTAGCGATCTCACACTCTTGACTTGCTGGGGGAAGGGTGTTGGGAAGAAGCCACGGCTATAGGTTTTGTGCGATGTAATATAAAAAAGGCATTCATTCGGAAGTCTCAGGTTTTCATCATGGCGGAATATAAGCAAACTTGTAGGGACTGTAGTTGGAAAGGATTACTTCAATTTTGATTTTAAAAACCCTGAAAATGAGTGAAGTCTGAAGGAACACAAATTAAAGATGTCTTTGTGTGTCTTTTCGCATTTTAGTGTGACCCCAATAAAGTGAGACCTAACCCTGGCCCAACCCCTGACCTTAACCCTAACCCCAATCTATATTTCTACTTTGTTTCCTAGCGGTGGCTTTTAAAATAGGAAATTACTCCACATGATAGTACATACATTGACATAAAAATGCTTACAAAATGATACAATTACACCACTGATACACAGTACAATTTCACAACCATGCCATTGCTGATCACCTTGCAGCGCCCTATTTTTTATAGCTAGGGTTGTTGTGTCTCGAGCTAGGGTTGTCTTGTCTGGATGAAAATAAAAAGCAAGTAGGAATCCAGAAAATTACTGATGATGTACTCCTATATATACTGACTGACTCTAATGTTATTATAAATTACTCCAGAATTGGGCGAAAAATTGGTTTCTGGTTCCACTTTTTTCTAGAAAAAATTAGTAAGGTACTGAAAGGGCCATTATTTATTCTCATGTTTTATCCTATATATTTTTGTATCATTAAAAAAATGTGTTTTATTTGACAGAAATAGACGAGGAAAGGAGTTCAGCAGAGGGCCGGCCGACCAGCAACACACAATTTAGAGGGGATATTTTGAGCAGAGTATATAACCCTAACCCTAGGTAGTTTTTTTGTTTTGTTTTGGTAAGTGTTTTACGGCGCTCACAACTGCATATAAGATCATATGAGCGCGTGGGACACAAACTTTTTCAGTTTGTAGGAAAGGAAATTTTGAATTTTGCCGGTGTGGTGGCGGAAGCCTATTCTTATTTATCGATTTTAGACCACCAAGAGATCTTTCACGTGCGCAATGTGCACTCGGGCCCTCCGAGATTTTTCGCCCTTGTCCGAGAAGGCTAGGTGTAGATCTTTCGTACCAGAAGATCAGGGGTGTCGCTCAAAGACAGCTATAAGGAGCCTAGGAGTAGCAGTAGAAAGGCTGCAGAAAGAGTTAAGAGCCCAGAGGAGGGCGCAAAGGATGTGAGGGGGCGAGGGTAGAAAGTAGAGGCAAAAGCAGACAACAGAACTTTGCAAGAGAGCAGGAAAGGAGGTGAAAGGAGACAATTTTAGAGAAGAAAATGTTTCTGTTGCCACCTGGATTCGAACCCAGGACCTTTGAATGAGAGGCGAACACTTTTACCTCTAGGCCACAAGAGCCCCTCCTAACCCTAGATCTTGATCTAACCTTAACCCGTACTCTACACCTAAACACCAAACCTAACCCTAGCCGTAATCCTAACCCTAACTCTTGTATAGTTTGCTCGGTGGACCTTGTCATGGTAAGTACCGGCCCTCTGTGGAACTCCTCCCTAGACAAGAAAACCATATTGATTGGGTTGTCTTTTCTCCTCTCCACATTTTTTTTGTTTAGGTCCATGGTAAGCCGTTGGTTTCATATAATAATGCTTCCAGATCATGATGAGAGTTTTTTTATGAGAGTGAGAGGATGATTAGAATATTTATATAAGTCAGTGCCACTGCTTGCCAACCAAATGCTCTCTTTCGACCTTTTATAGGAAAGAATGAATTCCTGATTTTATTGTAGACTACACTACTGAAATTGTTTTTACATTAATTTTAAAATAGTTTTTTAAAACAATTTTAATTAGAAAATTTTGGTCTTTAAAAAAATGCTTTTTTACATTCGTGTGTATGACTGGTAGATTTTGCTGTTCATGGGGTTTTTTTTTTGAATCCATAAGAGTTTTCTATTTGATTCGACTCCGGGGCTCCCCGCCCGCCACGGAGCCCAACAAGGGGACACATAGCTCGGATAACCAGAGCTGTGCCAGGGCTACCCCGGAGCTATACTCTCAACGAGAAAGTACGAGACCCTCCCGTCAAGATTGACCCAGGGCTTGATGGGGTTTCAGCTCTCAACCGATTGAGTGGCATGGGCCGTGCCACCCTCCCGTCTAAGAGGAAAAATTGGGCCAAAGAGGTGTGTTGGCGAGGGACAGTCCGTGGACTGATCTCACCTCAACCGCCAGGTACCCGGTTTCCCTCCGCACGGGTCGCACCTCACGGTCAACGAGGCGCCCACTCTGTGGGATGGGTGACCGCTCTTTTTTCTGCACTTGAGGTCAGCGGTGGGAGGAAAGATAGAAGAAGAAAGAAAGAAGGAAGGAGAAGAGGAAGATACACCAAAGTGAGTGTCGCACACGGATCCCAGAGGGTTGGGGTCCTTGTGCGACACTCCGCCTTTGAAGGGGTTGCACCTTCTGCAGACGAAGCAGTAGGTCTATTTATATCCCCCCGACCCACTGAAGACCCTTCCCCAGCTCCCAACGTAAAAAAGTCTCGGCTCGCGGAAGCGGGTGCGGCCACCGAGCCGAGCAAAAACTCAAAAAAAGGTAAAAGGACCTTTACCGATGCCTCTTTCCTCCCTCCTCCCAAGGAGCTTCTGAGGCAACCGTACGTGGCCATCTCCAGTACCAAAGACGCACAGAGAAGAATTACCGATCTCAACCTCTTTAAGACAGGAGATGCACTATGGAAAGTTCTGGGATACATTCCCACATGTGTACAGAAACTTTCCTGTTGGTGCACTCCTTGTCAAGTGCGCAACCGAGATCGAAGTGACCAAACTCCTGGATACCACGACCATCGGCGGTATTCAATGTAAGTCAGAGCACTACCAAAAATTTAACCGCTTGAAGGGCGTGGTCCGCAGCCATGAGCTGAAAGGCTGCTCCATGGAAGAGATGTGGAGCACTGTGAGGGAGTGGTCGAAGCCCGCCGGATTACTCTTCGGCGGGGGGAGACTACTATCGAGACGAACACGATTGTCCTAACATTCGAATCGTGTCGCCCTCCAGTCACCGTTCGGGCATCTTACTTGGTACTCGACGTACGACCCTATGTGCCGAACCCTCTGCGCTGTTTCAAGTGTCAGAAGTTCGGCCATAGCCAGTCACGGTGCCGTCACGCAGCCGTGTGTCCTCGTTGTGGCAAGACCGGGCATCCTGAGAAGTCCTTGTTGCCCCAATTGCCACGGCCAGCACACAGCTTTCAGTAAGGAGTGCCCGACTTGGCTCCAAGAACGCGCCATCCAAGAATACAAGGCGCGAAATGGCTGCTCCTTCCAGGAGGCCCGTAAGGTTGTCTGCCCGCCAATCACAACCCCAGTCATTGGCCGGTCATATTCAAAGGCAACCCAGATGGTCACGAGGTCGGCAAGTAATTCTACTGCCGACCTCCCAAAGCCCGCGGTCAACAGGCAAGTCTCTGTGCCAAAGATCACCAAAAATAAAAAAGCCCGCTACTATCCCTGTGGCACCCCCCTTTTAGGTGCCACTCTCTAACAGCTATGGGGTTCTAGGGGAGGACGGGGAGGACTCTTCCTCCGCCCCCTCTTCTCCCCATCACCCCTCTTATATCATTTCTTCTTCTTCTTCTACCTCACAGCCCATCCCTCTGATGGAGTGTGAGGTGGGCCTTCTCCCCTCCCCCCAGCCCCCTCCCCCCCCTTCCCAGCCCCCTCCCCCCCCTTCCCAGCCCCCTCGGTCTACTCCACTTCCCCCTACCCCTCCAGCAGACAAACCCCTGCCTATGGAGGAAGACAGCTCCGACCCCCCTCCCCGGCCTGACCCGGGGAGGGGCGGAGTCTGTCACTCCTCCAAATCCCCCACTAGACCGCCGTCCAATCCAGGACGGCAACCTAGAAAACACTCTGCCTCCCCCGCAAGGAGGAGTCAGAGTGCTTCTTCGAAGCCGGGGCCTTTGAGCTCCAAACAAAAACCTAAAAAATCATAATGGCGGTCCTGCAATGGAATGCCGGCGGAATCCGACCTTCCATTGCAGAATTGCAACATTTACAGGCCACACTGTGCCCACGGGTGGCCTGTATTCAAGAAACAAAATTCGCCCCCGGCTTCAACCATAGACTTAAGAGGATTTACTGCGTACCATCACATTCACACGGAGAACCAGATTGCTTCCGGTGGTACCACCATCTACACCGACAACCACACACTCCACAGACAAGTACATCTTAAGACTACCCTCCAGGCTATTGCCGTACGGGTCACCCTGCACAGACCAATCACGATCTGCTCAGTTTACATCCCACCAACTTACCCCCTCAAAATAACCCAACTAAATGACTTAAAATCTCAGCTCCCAAAACCTTTTATTTTGCTAGGTGATTTCAATGCCCACAGCCCCCTTTGGGGAGACAAACCTATAGACCAGAAAGGAAAAATAATAGAAAACTTTTTATTTCAAAATAACATCTGTCTCTTAAATGATAAATCCCCAACTTACAGAAACAGAGCCACTTATGGCACTTCATCCCTTGACCTCACCTTTTGTACCCCTGACCTAGTCCCAGATCTTGAGTGGTCTGTGCTGGATGACCGTACGGACCATTTCCCAATTCTCCTCAAAAACAATAGCCTCCAAAACGACCCGATCCCAGAACGCTTCAACTTCAAAAAAGCCGACTGGGACGGGTTTGCCTATCAATGTTCCAAGATTCTTAATCCAAATTTCGACCACAACTACAAAAAAATTCCACGAAAAGCTCTTAGAAATATGTCACAATCACATTCCAAAAACAAAAACAATACCCCGGAGGAACAAGATCTGATTCTCTTGGGAATGTGAGGACGCAGTAAAGAAAAAGAAGGCAGCGTATCGAAGAGCCGTCAACAACACCACCATAGAAAACAAGATAATTTATTTAAAGGCTCGAGCTGAGGCGCGTAGATGCCTCAGGGAGAGCAAAAGACAATCATTCCAAAAATACATCTCCAAAATCAACAGCCAGACACCACTCAACCAAGTTTTCCAAATTGCTAAAAAATTCTTAGGTAGACGCACAGACACCATTCGGCACGTCCAGAGGCCGGATGGAACAACAGCTGAAACACAAGAAGACATTGCAAACACAATAGCTACATCTCTAGCCAAAAACTCATCCCAAGCAAACTACTACACCACTTTTCAAAACATCAAAACTAACAGAGAAAAACAACACCTAAACTTCCACTCAAACAACACTGAAACCTACAACGCAGACTTCACAATAGACGAACTAACATCGTGCATCTCGGACCTGGGCGATACAGCCCCGGGACCGGATGACATCCACAACAAGATCATTAGACACTTACCCTCAGAAACACTCACACTCCTACTACACATATACAACGACATGTGGCGGTCGCACTCCTTTCCGGAGTCTTGGCGTCTCGCCACTGTCATTCCAATACCCAAACCTAACAAAGACCACACACACCCATCCAATTACAGACCTATAGCCCTAACGAGCTGTCTCTGCAAACTGATTGAAAAAATGATTCATAGGCGACTCATGTGGTTTCTGGAAACGACGGGCTCGCTGAGCGGTCTCCAGTGCGGATTCAGGAAAACTCGATCCACTCTGGATCACCTGGTCCGCCTGGAGACCTTTATACGCGAGACGTTCGCTGAAAGAGGCCACATGATCGCCATCTTTTTTTACCTAGAAAAAGCCTTCGACACAACCTGGAAGTATGGCATTCTTCGAGACCTGCACGCACTCGGCATACGCGGTCACCTCCCTGCCTTCATTGGCAACTTCTTGAAGAACCGTTCCTTCCAGGTTCGTGTCGGATCCTCCCTTTCAGACCCCCACCAACAGGAGGAAGGAGTCCCCCAGGGGAGCATCCTTTCTCCTCTCCTATTTGAAATTAAAATAAACTCCATAGTGAAAACCCTCCAGAACAGCATAGACAGCTCGTTATACGTTGACGACTTCTTGATATGCTGCCGATCGAAAAATCCTCATTTGAGATCTATGGAAAGGCAGCTGCAAAAACTTGAAACGTGGGCAAACAACAACGGTTTCAAGTTCTCCCCGTCAAAGACGGTTGCAGTACACTTCTGCCGAACAGGCAGACGTGTGCTGCAGCCGGATTTGACACTATACGGGGAAAGGATTCCCGTCCAGGACCAAGCTCGTTTCCTCGGCGTCATTTTCGACAAAAAACTTACATTCATACCATACATCAAAGACCTTCGTGTGAGGTGCCAGAAAGCGTTAAACGCTTTGAAAATTCTATCAAATCCGGAGTGGGGCGGGGACTCAAAACACCTTCTCCACTTGTACATCTCCCTTGTCCGGTCCAGGCTTGACTACGGCTGTCAAGTCTACGGATCGGCAAAACCACACGTCTTAAAAATACTAGATCCAATACAAAACCAAGGACTCCGCCTCGCTCTGGGGGCTTTCCGCACTTCTCCGGTGGAGAGCCTCCAGGCCGAGGCCAACATACCACCACTCTCACTCAGACGCACACAACTTTCACTACAATACGCAGTTAAACAGAGCTCAACACCGGAAAATCCAGCGCACAACAGCATTTTTCAAACAAATCCAGAAACCAGAAACAAATTCCAAAACAACGAAAAACTCATCAAACCTTTCGGCCTCAGAATCCTTGAGGACCTAAAAAACTTACACTTTTCCAAACAAGACATTCAACAAATTCTTTTCCCCGACCTGCCTCCGTGGCACCTCACCAAGGCAAAAGTAGATTTACAGCTGACCACACACAACAAAGAAAGCACAAACACCAAAACTTTTCAAGCAGAATACAAAAAACTAATAGATAAATACCCCGGTGCGGAGCTCATCTTCACGGATGGCTCCAAAAAAGACAATGAAGTGGGCGCCGCAGCCCTATCTCCCAACAATACACACCAGAGGAGACTCCATCCTGAAGCCTCCATTTTCACTGCGGAGGCCACTACCATTGACATGGCACTGGACTCTGTAGAAAATTCTCCTAACAAATCTTTCCTTATCCTATCTGACTCTCACAAATACCTCCTACAGGGAGATGAGAAGCCGTTCTGTGTTGGATGCGACACAGATTTTACCATTAGACACATTTTAACAGAATGTCTAGACTTTGAAGAGATCCGAAGGAAATATTATAAATGCAAGAAATTGCAGGATATTTTTTCCGTCGTTGTTCCCAGCAGAATTAAAAATTTTATAAAGGCCATTGGCCTTTATGGCGAGTTGTAGAGTGAATTTGATATTATTAAACATTTTTATTGTTACTTAAAAGTTGTTTTAGATCACAAATGTATTTACACCGAATTTGAATATTTTAACTTTTTAGCATTTTAAAGTAAATTAGTTAGCCAGTTGTGAAGTGAACTTTCGCAGAGGTGAACAACTTGTGTTTCGCGCGCTCATATGACCTTAGCAGTTGCGAGCGCCGTAAAACCTTATACTATACATACATGTTCATGGGGAAATCCTTTGACCTGTTTCATTGTGTTGTTAGTTTATTTTTTCCTGAATATTGCTTAGTGGAAGAACAAAGTGAATTTGAAATGTCCAAAATATGAGGCAGCATGGTGAAATCAGGCGTTTGTCAAAATAAATGAAATCAGATAAATCGGCATTTTCCTCCCTTTAAAAAAATTTTTTTTTTTCAAATTTTTGTTCCATTTTTTTGGTTAACAGATAAATATCTCTATTGAAAAACACATATTTCTATGAAGACTTCTATGGAAAAAGTTGATAAAATGCACAAAAAATGTAAATTATTTATTTGTTTTCAAGGTCTCTCAAGCTCATGTAAGACACCAGACTTTGTCAGCCATTTTCTCGCAAATTTTACTCTAAAATCAGGCGACCCCCACCTCCTTCAATTGCAAATCTCGACTTGTATTCAAGATAGATGGGTATTTTTAAAAAATCACTAGCAAGACAAATGAAATCATTTATAATGATGTCAATAACTCCATATAAAACTTGACCATCGCCTGATTCTACCGCGTCGGAACACAAATTCAGCTGCCAACCTATAAATATATATACATATATACATATGTGTGTAAAAAAATTATTTTTATACAATTTTGAGAATCTGAGTATGGATGTTCATTTTTGTGTCGGAATCAGCGTTGTATTCCGTTTTCTGCTGTATTGCTCCTCATGGACTAGCTGATCTGCTGAAGAAAGTTCAAGAACCGGATTTGTCATGATTAATAATGAAAGAAGCTTGTAGTTACATCCTTCAACACTGCAATTATTGAGCTTGAATTTATTGAATGAATGCAGAAAAATTATTGTGTGTGTGCGGAGCAGTTGGGGGGGGGGGGTTGCTTCGCTGTTCCACTATTTTGACCCACCATTTTGGAAGTGTATGGTTTTTGGGTTTACAAAGCTGGCATTTATGTTATAATTACAATTTTCTTTCAAACAGTCATCCTGGGGGTGGGGGAGATACTTTATTCCCTTTGTTGTTATAGCTCAAGTACTGATCGTCACACAATACAAACGCTTACATGACCTTATATGCAGTTGCGAGCGCCGTAAAACCTCTACTAATCGCAATACCATCAACAATTGACAAGCAAACCAATCGCGAAGGTTTTTTTTTGTTTTGTGTTGTTTTTATGCCCCTGTTGACACTATTAAATCATTTATGAGGCTGGCTTCCTCTCTACACTCTGCCTGTCAGGGCCAACCCAGGCTGAGAGAGACACAACAGTCAGAAAAACTGAGATACTAGACTACAAAAAAAACTTTTCCCTCATGGGAATGGTTTTTATAACATCTTCTGCATGTGACAGTGAAGTACCTAAGTGCTATACCAGTCAATTCTATAGAATCTAGTCTTTTTGTACTTACCATTTTATAAATATCAGTGAAGGGTACTCTAGTGCATGGAATGGTACAAGTACAAATGTTCAGTATTATTCACTTTACTTTTTGAATGAGTTCTGATGGCTATGATTTAGATCTCACCATATTTTATTTTGTTCCTCAGAGGGAACATCGTCCAGGTTTGCTGAACCAGTGAACTACGCTTATTCGTTTTTGCAAGAAAAGTGTCAAGATTCCTCACAGAGAATGACTGTTAGTTGGCTTGTGTCAGGTGATTTATGATCACAGTACAACATGGCGGATGTTGCCAGCTCTATGTCTGCTTCCTCCCCACCAGGGGGAAGCTCGGGGCTCTCATTGCTTTCCGACAGTCCCGACCTTGCTATTATCTCGCCTGGAGTTAAGGAAGCCATGGATCGCATTTTTCCCAAGTCTGCATCACAGCTACTCCAGCAGAGGCCTTCTCAAGATGGTGGGGATGGCCCTATCTCTAGTTCTGACGTAGGGATGGGGTCGGCAGAAAGTTCCCTGTTCTGTGGTCTGGAGCCAAGCGCATTTGGTGGCTTGACAAAAAAAGGCGACGGCATTCGAGCAGACCCAGGTAGTGTGCCCTCAGAGTCCTCACCTGCCATTCCTCAAACAGAACCACAAGTAACTCCGAAAACTGCGGACAACGGAAGTATTCAGTCTTCTGAGAAGAGACCTATAAGCAAATTGAGAATTACGAAAGCTGATTTAGAAATTATCAGTTCTCTTCATTCAGATTTTGATGAGCTTTCAAATAAGAGCTACTCAGAAAACAGCCAAGGAAAGTCCAAAGAGAATTCCACCAATGATTGTTACTCGAATGATTCTGACTCCGAGGATATGTGCAGACCGTTTGCCAGTGTCGCAAAGGCTAAGAAGAAAGATAAAAAGCATAAGAAAAAGAAGAGGAGGAAAGAGGACCTGAACCGGTCAGATGTACTGAATAGTGTTATAACAATAGACTCTGAAGAAGAATTTCACAAGGGCAAGAGGAAAACAAGAAATGATATAAATCTAAGTGAGAAAAACCTTAGTCAGAGAGTTGTTATTAGAGCTTTTGAAGAAGATAGTATTACTTCTGTAAAAGAAGCCACTAAAAGAAATAGTACCAGCAGCAGAAAGCTCAGTCAAAGCCTTGACGCAAGTCCAGTCGTTCAGGTAAGCAGTGAAGAGAACAGTTCTTCGATGCAAGATTTAAGTGTCTCACAGCAGTCATCTCAGAATAGCTTTCCTAGCAATTGGTCGGTGTCTGCTACCACAAGTGTTAAAGACATTGCTCTTGCAAGTGATGATGTGTCGAACATATCATTTTCATCTTCGAAAGAGAATGTGCACAGTCAGGTTCGATCCGGTATTAAACTCCCAAAAGTTCGAAAACCATTCTATGACGTGAAAAGTGACAAGAAGAGAATCAGAAACACATTCCCACCATGTTGTGTTGTTCTCACACACTTGGGCAATATTTCCCAAACGTGTTCAGTCGAACAGTGGTCTCTCATGGACTCCCCTACCCCGCTGTCAGTGAGGTTAAAATCTCTAAGGACTCTATGTGCAAGGGGAGGTATAAAATGCAAGCACAGAAAGAAACAGTTGAAAGGAGCTGCTTACGGCAACTTCCATGATGTGAACAATTACACTGGTCAGTCAGAGGAAGAGTTTGAAACGGCTCGGGGAGGGAGAAGTCTAAGGAAGAGGAATCAAAATATAAGTTACGCAGAGCCTTCTGAATTTGCAGATGACTTAATGGAGAGTGGGTCTTCTCGTCGGAAATCGAAAATTAAAGACCGTTCGACTGACCGAGAGAATGACAGCCAAAGCGAGTCAGACAGCAGTCAAAAGAAGGGAGACAGCAGTCAAAACAAGTCAGAAAGCAGCCAAAAGAAGAGAAAACTTGATCCGTCAAACATGAACGGAGAGGACGAAAAGAAAGAACAGAATAACAAAGAACAGAAAAAGCTTGTTGCGGGTAAGGCTCAACATGTAGAGAGGAAGGGTGCAGATGGCAAAACTCAGGTATATGTGTACCCTAGCTCAAAATTGCTGGAGAAGCAGAGCAAGGAGAAATCGAAAGGTAGAAAGTCGGATGCTGGAACAGAGAAAAGCAAGACACTTGCGTCTAGCCATAGAAGTCTGGCCCCAGTGCCACGTTCTTCAAATGTGTCTGTCCTTGTGAACAGCACCTCTCAGAGTTTACAGCCAATACAGAGCTCGGTCTTATCTCCAATGCCTCTGGGCCTCTCTGGAGGCTTGATGCCTCTGGCTAGCCGACCAATTGCCCCTTCTATGTTCCCGTCGTCAGTGGCTTCTACCCCAGTGGTTGCTAGCTCAACTTTTCCCATGCCAATCTCAACAGCGGCAGCCGGCAAACCTCAGTACTGCATGATGAAGATGGATGGCAAAGACGTTCTCGTGCAGCTGCTTCCTTCGGGTATGATTGGTCCAGCCTATTCGGGGATGCAATCGATGGTCCTTCCAGGTGGGAAGAGGTTCCTGCTCACTACACCCCCTCCGAGCATGGTTGCAGCTGCGGGCCAGCCTCGTGTTATAGGACAGACGATTCTCCGGAGGGCGCCCGCTCCTGTTGGTGTCACCCCGATTGGCCAGCCTCATGTCGTTAGTGTTGCCAGCTCTTCAGGTACACGATTTGTGGCCACATCAGCTCCAATGAATGCAGCAGCAGCCCTCGCGGACTCGTCTGGAGTGAGAAGCTCAATCCCCATTCTGTCCTCCCCTCAACTGGGGAGGATCACAGGAATCTCCGTCGGTCAGGCGTTCTCTCTTGCTTCCGGCTCGCTGATGGCAACTACATCCTTTTCCACTGCCCCAATTCCTGTCATTTCATCCAGTTCTTCAGCGGTGGTGACAGCTGCTTCATTGCGAGATGTTACATCTGTGACCTCTGCATTGTCCAGTGTGAGGCCCTCATCGGCTGTTACATCTATGGCTGCCCCGAGCTCCACCACTGTTGTGCACAGTGCTCGAACCCCGGCCCCTTCAACAACAAGAGCTCCCGTTACATCCAGCCAGGCAGTACCTACCAGCATGCGCTCTCTGAGGGTGTTTGTGCCAGGATGCTCTGCCACTGGCACTCCAGGCCACTTCACTACTCTGGCAAGTGTTGGGAGTGGGAGTCCCCTGACTCGACTGAGTGCTAGCAGTGATCTCTTACCACAGCGCAAGCGCTCTGCTGAGAAGGAATTGACTGCAGAACAAAAAGCAGCAAAACGGAGGAAGCTAGAAAAAAAATATCCACTTCCACCTGGTGTTGTGATTAAGACAGAAAATCCTGATACACCTTCCACCCCAACCTCACTTAAAAACAGCAGTAATACAAATATGAGGTCATTACTGCGCCAGAATGTCCTGCGCCAGAACATTGTTTTCTCCACTGCGCGCAGCGGTGCTGGTGGCAATATACAAAGTATAAGGATCATCACCCCAGCTTTTGCATCTGCCCTGACCAATAGACCAGTCAGACCGGGCTCCAACATCATGTACCGGGCGGCCAACGTTGGGGGGAGACAGACTGTGCTAGTGCCCATCACTGTGGGTTCTTCTGGCACGACCTCCACCACTGGGTCTGTGATGCTGGGTTTGTCCTCATCTGTACTATCTTCCTCCACCTTTTCCTCCACTTCCACTTCATCAACTGCAGCAAGTCAAGCAGCTATTACAGCCTCATCCATTATTGCAACATCCAGCCCCTCGATATCCACTCTTGTCAGCAACACAGCGATTACGACGGCGAGCAGCACCACAGCCACTACTTGCACAACTGTTGTGTCTTCAGCTATGGGTGCTGTTTCCACTTCACCCCCCATTTTGAGAAGAAATCGAGGCTCAAATAGTAGTCCACTGCCACCGGTGCTGGTACCTGAAGCTGCCGTGAGCTCAGAGAACGGTCGATCAGACAGCACTATTACCTCAACCTCATCCAGCTCGTGTGTAAACGATGCTACCTCTGAGGACCCGGCTCATAGTGATGGGCCAAGTGACCATGTAACAACTCCCTCATCAGGCTTAGCTTCCACGAGTAGCAGACCTGACACTGATGTGTCTGTTTCCTGTGTTACAGGGACAGCAGCAGAAGCACCGTCGCGTGCCACTGGGTCCACAACATCAAATTGTTTGACTTCTTTGCCAGAGAACTCAGTCGAGGCTGGGTCACCATCGGTCAGTCTACGCTCTGGGAGTCCAGCTGCCAGCATGGGCATTTTACAGTCCTCCCAGGCCGCACTTGCCAGTCTGAGGTTACTAGTCAAGGCTCAGGAAGCTAATGGCCTTAAAGGAGAGAGAATGGACAAACTTAGAACTTTGCTGCTACAGAAAGAGGAGTTGCTCAAGTCTTTACAGAAGTCTGTTCTTGGGGTTGAGCATTCTGGAGACTCTTCCAGCAACGCTGTTTCTAGCAGTGTAGACTCTGTTGTCAGCCAAGACCTCAATGGCCATAATGGTACAGAAAATGATCCCTTTGTTATTGATTGATGTGTTTAATTTTTGTCTATAGATCTACTGACTCTATTTAAGGTTTCTCGTTGTTACCATGACTCATTGGTAAAGCCATTAATGTGGGATTCTCTGTTCATCTTTTTTCTCACGAATGAGAGTGGGGGAGAATGATGTACTGCTCATGTCGAGGGGTGGTGGTGAATAGGTATTTCTCCCAGCCAGCCCGCCCCCTTCCGACTTTCTGGTCCTGTCTTGTTGCTGAAATTTGTAATTGTAATTATTTTCCTAAGTACTCCTATTGCTGAAGCTAGAATTTTGTTCTCTGTTTTAACTGTACGGACCATCAGAGTCCATGCTTGAGTGTTGTCTACCCTTACACTTCCATTCACTGAACATAGACTTTACCTCAGCGTACGTTAATGCAAATCTAAGTACAGTGGAGTCCACTTATAACGAGTCCTGAAATAACGAGGTCTGTTATAAAGACACTATTCTAAAACCCTGATTTTTCCCTTCTTTATCTTTGTAAATGAAATACTGCTATTGCGCAATCAGACAGTCACGCGGGTCGGTGCACCGCCAGTTGAGAAAGTTGTTGGTGATCCAGCGAAACAAAGAATGGGAGAGCCCACGTGAACCAACAATGAAGGCCGGAGCGAATGAGTGGGGAGGGTGTGGCTTGCGCAGACAAGCAGCAGGCATCGCATGGTGGGCCAGCCTTGTCTAGATTATCTAGGCATACTGTGCCTCTCACTTCTCTGGTGCAAGATGGAGAGGTCACAGTGCTGTGATGGATGGAGTGAATGTGTGACATGCAGCAAGCAGACGCAACGTACTACAGGGTATGGTGGGGTGGGGGACAACACAGCTGGTGAGTTAGCCTAGAGCCAGAGCCCCTTCTTTCGGATCGCCAACGCCGGGCTGTCAGCATTGCTTGTGCTAGAGCAAGAAACCTGATTCGATTTTTGATCAAGTAAGACCTAGAGATCATGTTGTACAAAATCGTCATCAGGGGAAAAACAAAAAGGAATAAACAGAACACCAAACTCATAGATTAGGCCTACTTTACTATTTCCCTTGAATTTATTACTGGATTCGTTATAACGAGAATCCTGCTATAACGGACATTTGTCAGCCTATGACTGTGAAGTCAGGTTCTCGGGTCTTGTGGGGGCTCAGGGGACCAGTGCTCAAGAGTTTTTTTTGTTTTTTTTTCTTCAGGTATATTTTTCTGTTTCTGCATTGTACTTCTTCTGCTAGATGTTCCCTTCTTAATGAGTTGAAGATTAGTTGTCTGGAATCATGGGCGTCTGTGGTGTAATGTTTCCACTTTTTACAGTTGTACGCTGTGGACTTGACTTCTGTTCCCGAGCAGGGAAGTATTTCATTGAGTATCTCTGTCTGCTGGGCTGCTTTACTACTCTCAGCTAGTGCTGGACTCACAAAGGGCCAACTTATGTTGATGGGGTTGGTGAACATTTCACAGTCGCAAACCATGTATGTCAAAGAAAAGTCACACTAAAAGAACAGGCAGGTTGATTGTAGTTATGGGTTTATAGTTTATTCAGTTAATTAAACATGATCTTTTTCGATCTCATGTAAGGTGCCCAGAAGATCCGATTTGGTGATAACGGTTCATTTTCAAAACCAGTACCTTTCATTAAGTAGTTGCAGATTTCTATTCTTTTCAGGATTAGTAAGAAGCGTATCGCCCAATGCCTTTGTGTACATTTATTTTTCAATCTGTTGTTTCTACCATCTTAAAAAAATATGGATATAAGCCTCCATGAGTGGACAAGAGAGAAAAGTCTGTGAGGAAGCCTCTTTTCTCTCTTCCTTTGAAGTCTTTACTTTGTCTCTGTCACATGATTATGTATTTTTTGTACTCTTAGTGTTACAGTCTTTCTTGTTGTCTTAAAAGGTTCATAGAAATTGAAGATAGTGCATGTGCATGATGGTCTCTTGTTAGATGGTGATGTAGCTATTGTCATACAGTCCGTGTCGGCTTTAAGCACGCCGGCATAAAGCACGTTTCGGACTCAAGCACGCTAAACGGCTCTTACCAAATTTTTGCTATATATAACTTGCACGCCTTTAACGGTAACTTCGGCTTCGGGCACGCTTCATTTACAAGACAGTCAATACTTTCATGAATACCCATCAAAGTTTGAACACAGTCTACACCACAGCAGTGAGTGTGTTAAGAGAAACACAAAGAACGCAAGTGATGGACACACACACATGGGCGGAGAGGAAGACAGAGAGATGCGCACAGCCGCGCGCGTGGACATTGGATCTAGCCTAGGGCAAAGCTTCGCTCTGACCAAAAAAAAAAATACGAAGAGAGTTGGGGAGATGAGAAAAGGAGGCAGACTGCGATTTCACCTTTTTGCCCCTTGCTATCCGATAATCCTGATTTAGTATCATGTGCGAGGTGGGATCAAAGGCTTTGGGGGGATGAAGGCAGTGGTATTGGTATGAATGTGGCACAGCGGGCAGTGGTACGCACAGGCAGTGTGTAGGCCTAGTGTGCTGTATCGTGACTGGCCGTCTAAATTAAGTTTTCATTTCCCATTCGACCACAAAACAAAACAAACAAAAAAATGAAAACTACCATGGCGGGTAAAAAGAGTGCACACTTTTGTGGGACCACTATAGGCCTACTTACAAAGGGAAATAGCACAGAAAATTTTCTACATATATGGAAATCTCTGGATTATGTCTACTTTGCACTCAAGCACGCTTATGCTTTCTCCCGATGATCGTGCTTAAAGCCGGCATGGACTGTTTTATAAAATACTTAAAATTGAACCTTTTTCCTTTTGTTTCTCTTTGTGAATTGGAATACCTGGTACCTTATGAACAAGTTTGCATAAATAAATGTTGCCATGGTAATAGTGGTTGCCTTGAAAACTTTCAATGTACATAGGGGGAGGATCTTTTTAAAACGATTTGTTTCCCATGTGTGTGGCTTCCAGATGAGTTCGCTTGACACTGTTTGTCCAATGCGTCTAGTAAGTTTGGGTATTCCTGTGTAATGTTGTATTGCAAAAATGTTTCCTTTTGGAAATTGAGATTCTTTTGCACAATGGTTGATTGGATATAGATCTATGTATGTTCAATGGTGAGATAATTTTACAATGTCCAGCAGAACAAACTCTTGAAATCCTTCTTTTCTTTGCTAGTTACAGGTAGACCATAAGTTGTGTCTTACAATTGCTGTACCTCTTCTTTCAAATGTGTTAGCTTCCTGTGTCTACTATTTTTTTCTTTGTTTTTTTGATTATTTGAATAAAATGCGCTTTCTTTTTTCCTGCTGGTGCTTTTCATTAACTCGTGGAGACGTTGCCAGCCACATGACCTCCAGTATCTACAGATGTGTGCCCCGTAGTGGTTATATCATATGGCCAGTGGTGATTCTCTAAAAAGGAAATGGAAGGCAGCTAGTTTGCATTTTTTGAAAATGTTGAAACGCGTTGCCATTTTTGCACCTGTTACGACTTATAGATAATTTTTAAAATATTTTCTTTGCTTTATATACTTGCAATTTATTGGTTAGTCCTTGTGTTTTGGTAGAATTGACAAAATAGTCAAGGTTTGCAATATTCCTTTTCATGTCACAAGAAAAGTAGGTAGCCTTTGATGTTAGTATTGCTAGAGTGTTGGGTTTTTTAAAATAATTTTGTTGTTGTTCTTATTTGTTTAGTCTGATATTGGGCATGGATAATAAAATGGTTTCCTGCTACCTGTGCTCAACTTCTTAATGGATATTTTAAAGACTTTAAAGTGTAACTTGTAGCTGGTAATTCCTGCTCAGTGTATATTCAGTCCTTCTATTTAACAAGTAAACTGGGCAATGGATGAAGTTTTACAGAATGTGAGCTGCTGAGGGTTCTAAGGCTTTACTTAAGGAAAAGGTATTTTGAATTTAATTGGATGCATGAACCTGATGATATTGTATTGTGAGAGATTAGCGTTTCTTTAGTTTCACGAAGGTTCTTAAAGCAAGTTAAAGAGATGCTTTAACAATCAAGTTAAGGTTGTCAAAGTTATGCTATCTCATGTATGGCAAAAGAAAGGAAATCTACAGATAGGTATTTTTGTTAGTTGTTAGTCCTTAAATAAGGACAAAGTTTGCTTTTTAGTGTCTTCTACTAAACTTTTCTACTTCAGACTAGACATATGTTTTAATTAGTCAATCTACTAACAACATGGTTTAATAAATTTAAATCTCTGAGAAAGACAATTGAATGAATAAGCTTTGGTTGACAACTTTTTAAATTGTGGCTGGATGTTCCATCTTTCGTGAATTTTGTCTTTTTGGGACTCATTGTTAGCTTTTGTACTTACTCTAGAAGTAAGTAAGGCATCATTGAAAACTCAGGTAGAGAGAGGAAATAGAAATAGTTAATTGAGGCTGAGAGGATCAGAAATTTAGGGAATGGTTTGGAGAAGACAGAAAAGGTCTCTTGAACGTTCCCTGCAAATTTGTCCATTACCAAGTCCACTGTTCATGCTGTGTTAAATGTTTCGGCTTTCGCCCACAGAAGACTTGAAGAGTTAGTTCATCAGTCTGTTTTCTTAGATGTAAACAGCCTGCCTTCTAAATATTCTAAATCAAGTAGATTCTATATATTTTGGGATGTAAAACATTATTTTACTGATGGTCAACAACCATAAATCAGCTCAGGTCTTTTTTTCTTCTGTGAACAACTTTTGATATACAGATAAATAATATTAATATATATGATATATAGGCTACAAGAATAGTCAGTTCTTGTAGATTAAAAAACAAAAACAGCTTTAGTAGCTTATAGAGTTAAATGTACTATGTGGTTCCCCTTTTTCTCTGCTTCTCTTTAGTCTTTAGCATCAGTGTGACTAGATCAGGCGTTTCAATTCATATAGTGTAATCTTCAAAGGGCAGTCATTCTGCAAATATATATCTGACTTACTTTTTAAAAGAAGTTACCTCCCTCTACTCTACTGGACATCTCAGAAGTATGAAGGGATTGCTTCCATAAAATTGTATCAAATATGCTGATTGAAAGTGGGTGCAGCACCGTTGCTTAATTATTATTATTTTTTTATATTAGTGTGATGGTGTGCGGAGCATTCACCCTCATAAAAGCGCTAAGTTGATAAAAACAGTGACATATATGTACATTTGTTATTATAACGTATGTGTTGCTTTGGTTGTAGGTTAAATGTTGTTGAAATTGAAAGTGATATTTCTTTATTTCTATAATTATATGGTTTTGATTTTTGGTGCAAAGTCTGTTTGAAATTAATTGTTAATACAGGTAATCCCTTTTTGGGGTATACTTTGTTCTGTAACCTTAAAATAGTCTTGATAAAGATCTAGTTTGTAATTCTGAAGTCTCATGTGTTTTGTTTTTTAGCTTTATAGGGCCATGTAATAAAAATTTTATAGGTATGTCTGCATTTCTCTTTTCTATTGTTTATTGGTTATTCTGTGAAAGAATACCTTGGAACACAACTT